CTCTGCTGGCGTGGCGTTACACAACCCAAACACATTCCCGATTTCAAACCATGCAAAGTTTGCATTCCCTGAGTTTGCTTTTCCTTTTAGTTCAGTTCATTTGGGTAAGTTAAAAAAACACCCAAACTAAAAATCAGACCAAAAGCAGAAGGTTCAAGACTTACTCAAGGAGGTGGTCTCAGGAACTGTTCGTTTGGAGTGAGAATATGATTGAACTCTGATCAGGAACTAAAAAGAAATGAAAATGACAAAAACGTGTTTTATGAACGAATACAGACACCATGTTCAGTGGTAAGTGGCATTATGGGTTGCCATGTGTCTGTTTACTCAGCTGCTGTTACTTGATGAGCGATCAGTTGTTGCGCCCAGTTCACCAACTAAGCTCCCTTCTTATTCACGTCTCTACACTCTCTCTTTGTCTGACCGTTAAACAACCAAATGCATTGATAAACTGCTGCCTACCTGATTCACCTCCCATTGTTATATACAATTTATTTGGAACTTCCCTGAATTCGACCGTTGGCAGTGTAAAGTATCTTTGTCACGATGCGTTACACAGCTCTGTATGTGGAGGGAGAATTTTTTAGGGAGAAATTGAACCATTGTGAACCACATGAAAATGAAACTTGAGCCAAGAAAAAAAACGATTGATCGTTGTATAGTTTATAAATTTCGAAAATCATTAACATTGTTTGTGTATTATGTATATATTCTGGAAATCGATTTTCTGAACATCTGGATCGAGTAACGAGTCTCAGTCTCTGCCTGACTCTCCCAGCATACTCCCCATCCAGCGCTGTGAGTAAGTAGATGATGCAATGGATGCATTGTCCCATGCATTTGTCCCATGCGCTGCAGCTTGGTGGATTCACTTGAGAGTCCCCTCCAAACCTGGTTAGGTGTCATCTGCCTTGATCGTGAAGGCCTACACAACAGCACGTCAAACTGGTTTACATGCCACAGTTAACCTGCATGTGTTTAAAGCCAGGTTCTTTGTAATATGTTCGAGGGTAGTTAGTGGCAGCCAAGCTTCCACAGAAAAGAGGGCCAATACAATGCGACAAAACTGGCTTTGCAGGCCCAATGTAGTCAAGGGACTGCATCATGGCTGCCCAATGTAGTCAAGGGACGGCATCAGACTCACCTGCTTCAAGTGGCCTGAACACAGTTCCTGGATGCACCTCGGATTTCCCCGAGTGGATCATCGGCATCAATGTGCATAGTTTTGTGTCAATGGTGTAAGGACAGGAGATTGAGGAATCTGCATTCCAAACATCTCTCGAGCGTCTTTGGAGGAGTCAGCACAAAGCAAAAAAACCCAGAAGTCCAGATGCAACCATTAATGAAGATGCGACCCCGGACTCCCAATAATGATTGTTTGGAGATAGCAATCCAATGAGAAGTACTAACTGGTACCAGCACAGGCTTCATGACTTATCCATAAATCATAGGTGATAATGGTCACCAGCAAATGAGAATAATGGAGTTTTAACTGTTGCACCTCAAGTGAACTCTTAAACCCGCAGAGAGAATTAAAGACATAGAAAATAGTAAATGAAAGTGAACGTCTAGGTTACTTAAAAAACCCGTTGCCGAGATGGGTTGGGAGTGGAAATTTATGTCTGTTTATTATGACCTCATATGTTGTTTGAGAGGATTATCATTGATAGCTTGGTCTAGTTCCTCAACATGACAGGAGGAATGAATGCAAGCCACATTGGCTTTTCAGAGTTGCTCATGCTAATTTCACTGTGAAAGTGCTTTCATTGGCCCGTGGTAAGTTTCGGAGAAGAAGTTTCAGTCAATCAAGAGTGATTGTGTAATTCAACATAACGTATCCATTCCCTTCTTCAGGAAAGTGTTATGCATATTATAATTACAATCTAAACACAAAGTAACCTCAAAAAATGAGAGCTGCAATGCATTTGCCATTTTTGAAGAAGCAAACATCTGGTGTTTGGAATGCTACTACACTATAAAGCCATTAAATGTTGCGGGGGCTCTAAACAGTACATTTAAATGTAAGACTAAAAAGAAATAAAGCCTCATGTTGATTGCAACAGTACCATGGCCTGGATGTTACTTGGCAGATGAAAGCCCTGAGGACCCCTGGATCCCTGCTAGTTCAGCCCTATCAAGGGCTTCTGTTGAACTCATCTTTCCAATTGCAGCGAGCCTCCTCAAATGAGACCCATGGGGAGGAGAACAGAGCAATGAAGCAGCATAAAGACTTGCGAATGGTTGCTGTAGAGCAGACAGGACATTTTCATGGAAATGAACCAACATCTCCCAGTTTCAGAGCAACTTCCTGTCTGTGTTCTTTCTCCTCATATATCAATGCTAACATTGGTTGGTAAATTGTGTTTAAGTGTTTCCAGTTGGTCAAAGCTTTATAACCCAGTCTCCAATTATCTCCTCACTAAAACCTTTAAGTACTAATATGCTTGTTCATTTTGGGATGAGAAAATTTAGACTCTGGGTAAACACACATTAAATCCTTAAGAACCAAAGCAACATGATCAGCAAATCAAATGTAACTCCTATTATGAAAACAGATTAAAATAATGATCCTCTTCTGATCTGGGAACAGATTCCCTTATTCTGTTTACACAAAGCTAGAAAGAATCTGGTGATGTATCATTGGCTTTATGGAGAGATAGATAGAGAGAGTGCTGGCAGGCATTGCTTTTTCTGGAGCTGAGAGACTGAAGCAGATGGGCTCTCATCTTTGCATGTTCTATTGATGATTCTCTCCATCTTGTCAGATTTGTTGAGATTCAACCAAGACGCCTCCCTCCTAAGTGAGCTAGCAGATGGCTTTTTGCTCTATTTATCTATATCTTGTAGTACATCCGTGTGTTTACTCAGCCACACTTCTGGGACAAATTTGTTATCAATTGAAACTGTAGACAAAAACTACAAAAAATATATAGTCAAAACAAAAAAAAATATTAAAAAAGATGTTATTACACAGAATACTTTGATCTAAATTAAATTAGGGTAAAGTTCTTCCACTTTAAAACATGATGGAGTAATTTTCCCAGTAATTTTTATCACTGCCCAGGTTCACCTCCAAGTACTTACCTCATCACCCAATCACCGTCGTCAAACTCTCCAATAAATACTCTAACTCCCAGAAGACAGGTGCCTGTCATCAATTTGTTCTTTCCCCCGTGTGTTTTCATTCCCGGACTTCCTCACTGTTTTTTTCCTCTATTGCGGTTACTGATTTGTGTTGCATTAACTTCTGAGATTTTAGAGACTTGTCTGGAATGTGCCTATTAGGATGCAACCACCACCATTGACTTGGACATCATGGAAGAGTTGGGCTCTTCAGTTAGCACCCTAATCCTTGCGCACACTCAACCTTTCCTGGTGGTGTATGCTTCACCTTGGAACGAGCAGAACCTTTCTCTTGAAGATTCTTGGAATGTCTCTACTAATATGTACGCCATGTCTTCAATACACCTCATTATTGCTATGCCATTGTCTTGTGTGTATGGTCACTAAAATACAGGACATGAATATATTAATTTGTAATGAATTTACTGTTAAAATAGTATTTGGTCACCTGCAAACAAGCTAGGCTGAATAAAAGAGCACAAGTCTGTGTTTTCCAAGGAGATCACTAACCTCAAGGGCATAGCAAAGGGTTACAGAAGCATGGTTCTTCACCTGAGAAGAGAGTGCCACAAGGGGCACTGTATCTGTACTCTAGTTCTGTTGGGGTCAGGCCCTTGGGCATGACCCAGACAGAGCCAGGCAGCAGTCAACTGCCACACCTCAGCACCGTAGAGGGGACGGAACCAATATTAAGGTTATAGTACCTTATGAACGTGTTAGGTATAGATCAGCCCATAGCTTTACATATGTCAATGAGTGAGAGTCCTTTAGTCAACTTCCACGAAGCAGCAATCGTGCCCCCTAAACGTGTCCCGTTTCTGCTGAACAGCCAAGGGATGTAGTCGCCATTCTCCTGTGGTCAGAGTGACCCTGGACAGCAAATCCGCAATGGGGATTGTGAACGTTCCTGAGGGACAGTAGTCTCAGTCATGCTGTCTATTATAGCAAGCACATGATGGACTTGGAGGAGCAATGCAATGATCACTGCAGCTAACTAGAGACGGTTTATGTGCCAATGAGATACACGGCTGTGTAAGCACCTTGTCCCTGTGCTCGATCAACTGGTCTCGTGAGATGACTAATACAAGCCAGTCTTCGAGATAATCCAGGATCCTGATGCCAACCCAGCGGAGCAGTCGAAGGAACTTCAAGGAACAAACTCGTGAACTTTGGGAAGGTGCAAGAGGAAAAGATAAAGAGTAGGATATGGTACATGTAGGACAGCTCCTTGAAACAGAACCTCAGCAAGGGTCTATGACATGAAAACACCGCTATGTGGAATTACGTGTCTTTCAGGTCTATTGTTGCTAACCAGTCTCTAGATTGAACGCCCGGTAGAATGCTTCTAGAGTCCTGGCCACGTAATGGTTCAGATGACTGAGATTCAAGATTGGTCGCAACCTGCCTGCTTTATTGGGGACCAGGAAGTATGGGCTGTAAAACTCACATTCCATTGCCTTAGTTCAAAGGGGCAATGATCTCCTCCTGCAGGAATGAGGCTCCTGCCCGGGAGACAGGGGTGTGACAACAGGCAGAAATTATGTCCGGTCTTCGAAAAGTATCTATGCCTGGTCCAACCACAGATGACGTTCCTGGACATTGTGCGGCCAAAGTTCATTGCTGCCAACTTTGTCGCCAAAGGGCAAAGTGAGTAGCAGAATGTAAGTCTTTCAAAGACTGCTGGTTACCACCACATTGGTGCACAGTGGACCCTGTCTTGAAAGACCTCTAAGGTTGCCATGCCGTGTAGAGAAGCAGCAGGAAGTTGTTTTTACAGCAAGTCACTACTTTACAGGTCCAAGTCAATACAGGTCAAGTCCAAGTCAGGGGCCGCTAAATTTTAATTTCAAGTCATTTACAAAATACACTTTGGTAGCTTTCCTGTGGCTCAGTTAGTAGAGCAATGCGCTAGCAAGCCAAAGATTGTTGGTTCAAACCCCCAGAAAAAGCAATAACCAAAGAAATGTGTTCATTGAAATGTAAGGGGGTTTGGATAAAATGTGTAAATGTATCATACCCCAAAAATGGCAAAAACCTAGGCATTAAACCTAAAAAATGTATTAAAAATGCCTAAAATTTAAGCATTAAAAAACTGCAGTAATCTTCAAGATCGATCCACTGTTTGTACTACTCAAAGAATTCTACCTGACAATTCATAAAAATTTTCTCCAGAGCCATGTGTCAGTTTTCTCACAAAAACTAATTTTAATTCAAGATGGAAATTGTGCCACTTGCTTCATGCAGGTTACTTTGGTATTCTTAAAAAAACACAATGTGTGCATAAATCCTCTGTAGTGTTGTATGCTGCATCATATCATGGGCCACCATGTCCTTAAATTCCAGTGGCAATTTTAAATGAAAAAACTTTTGGATATCTGAAGTAAAATAAAGTAAGCTATGAAAACCATATTTACCACATGGTGAAGGATTTAGGGTGTTTTGTATAAGTGGTGTGTAACAGATCGAGCCAAACCCTTCACTGTGATAATTGATATTTCTGATTCATATCTCAACCCCCTGATAATATTACCATCATAAATTACATGACATGGCTGGAGTGATTCCAGAAGAATAAAAGAATCCAGGAATTCTTTAAACTATTGAAATGTCTGGTATGTTCTAATGCTTTTTAATGGCCTTTACTGTTGTATTGGGCTGATACAGACAGATATTTAATGTAGCTCTAGTTCTCCTCCATCTTCTCCTTCACTGTCTAAGGACTGACTCTTGACTGCTCCTTATCAATCTAATAACACGTAGCTACATATTTAATATCGCTTAACCTTTTATTTTTTACACACCTGCTGCATGCTTTCAACACAAGAATATAGCAAAATATAAACAATCAAAAGCACATAGCTTTGCACAGTAAGCTTTTTCTAATCTCGGTTGCTGAAAGGTGTCAGAGATAGCAACTATGTGAGTTTCGAGTGTTTGAAGACATTTGAAAAGGAAATGTTAAGTGTTTCTTTGAGTCCCTTACAGTTTCTCATTTAGAAAAGTCTTATGCTCCGTTTTATGATTTTGTGCCACTCTGAGGTGCATTTGGCAAATCAGAGAGATTTAAACGTTGATGTAAAAGAAACGTCTGCTGTTCAAACGTCTTTTCACATATACTTTAAGCAAGAGCCTTGAGAAAAATGATTATGGTGTATTATTGCCATAATAACTCATGGTTCTTTGGATACTTAAGTACATTTTAATGCAATTACTTTTGTACTTGAACTGGAATGAAATTCTGGAGGAAGCACTTTTACTTTTACCGGAGTAATATTTTTCCTAGTGTATCTCTGTAACCAAGGTGGGGTTCACATTAAGGATATGAAAATAGGTAAACCCGGTGAGCTGCATCATCACTAAACTTTGCTGTTAGGTGGTGAGTCCCAAAATATCCTCTGGCAGGTTACAATCTTTAAAGTTAAAGTGTAAAGTGAATGCTGATTTAAAGTACCGTACATTAAAGTAGAACAAACTGTTTTTTATCAAAAACAATATTTGTGGTTTTTCATTTCTTTAAATGACAAATGTAGGAGTATCTGGGCCTCCTCATGGCACATTAAATAGATACAAATCCCAGTTTAATTTGACTTTCCTTGGCCATTAGCATTCATTCGTCACTCATTTGTTAATTAAGAGACAACACACACAAGCACCTAATGATGCAAAGGTCACAGATATATTTCAGTTCATTACTGATCCTAGTGCATCTTCTTGCTTGCTGATAACAAATAATCCTCCTGCGACAACAGACCCTGACATTACCATTCATCACTCACTACATAACAAAACCACCAGTGAGTTTATAGGTGAGCTGTGTCGCTTCTGTGCTACAAACTGCACCGAAGGGAATACCAAAACTAATGACTGTTTTCCAGCAGATTTCTCTAAGACTTCCCACATTTGAACTCAGGTCAACATGTGCCAGATTCGAATGCAATGAGGTTTAGCATTGGATTTAGTGAACACATTTACCTTTTGTTAATGTGGCCTTATTGTTTTTTCCATTGTGACTTCTAAAGACAGGTCTGAATCGATGAGACACTTTTTGTAAGATTATTGACAGATAACCTCTAAATCAGGGGTCTCGAACATGCGGCCAAAAGATAATTTTTGGCCCCAGCCTTAATGTTAATGTTTAAAAATGTATTGTTGTGTGGGCCACAAGTGTGAGTTTCATTCAGCTCCTTAAAGTTCCCATCACGATAGATTACCGTATTTTTCGGCTCATAAGACGCACCCAATTTTAAAAGAGGAAGATCTAAAAAAAAAAGATTCTGAACCAAATACTTTTGTAAAATATTTTATATCAACTGTGTAAAAGTTAACAGCCAAACATGTAACATGAACAGACAGTAAACAGTAAAAGTAACAAAAAAAAGGCTGTAATGTTTTTCTTTGCCCCCACTCATCACTCTAAAGTCCACCATTCGTTATCACCATCACTGTTCCAGTGCAACATTGTCACTACATTACTAATAATAGCCAGTAACATTGTCACTACATTACTAATAATAGCTAGTAACATTGTCACTACATTACTAATAATAGCCAGTAACATTGTCACTACATTACTAATAATAGCCAGTAACATTGTCACCACATTACTAATAATAGCCAGTAACATTATCACCACATTACTAATAATAGCCAGTAACATTGTCACCACATTACTAATAATAGCCAGTAACATTGTCACTACATTAGCAATAATACAGTGGTTCTCAAACTTTTTTAGTCGAGCCCCCCTTTAAACCTTTAAAAGAATCTGGGCACCCCCAGATGTAAAATAATAATTATTTAATAATTAATTAATAATTATTTTAATGTAAAATAAATGTAACTACTCCTTAATGTTAAATAACTCATTATTTATAGCTTATTTAAGTGACAATTCGGTTGCATGGTGTTAAGATATGATCCTTATGCGCTCTTACCTGGTTAGGAACACTACCCAATTGCAGAGCACATTACTTACGTTTGTTATCTCGTATGTACATGTGTGAGATGTACCGTTGAGAGATGATTTGAGTTTGAGTTTATTAAAGGAGAGTTTCAGTCATTGAGAGCGTTTTGTTTTCCTCACGCGAGCAAGAGAGAGAGAGAGAAAGAGAGCGCTCATCCGTGCACCTGACGTCAACACATGGAAACAATTGTATGCTTGTAGTTCTAATATAAATCCTTTTGATTTTTGTCAGCTTATGAAAACCCACATAACTCCATTAATGAAGGATCAAACTGTCCAAGCTTGTGAAACTGTCCAAGTGAATGTTTAGCAGAAAAAAAACCCTCACAGACTGAAGACGATGCAGATCGATCATCATCATCTTATCGTCAGGCTCAAGAAACATCGCAGATAAACTATTAGCTGTGCCCATTTCACATCTTGAAATGTATTTTAGCGTGAGAAATCGGAATCGGGTTTGTAGCGTGAGAGATCACTCAAATGTGAGAGTCTTACGTTCAATGTGTGAGAAACGGCAGCTCTGTAGCTCGTGAGTATGGATGCGGAAGCACTGCTGCGGCTACTGTAGCCAAAGGCATTGTGGGAAATGTAGTTTTTTCCCCCGTTTTCGTTACGGCCGCACTATGGCAGAGATGGGCGATGACGTCAGTGTGCAGCGCTGGGTGTACAAATATGGCCGTGACCGGACTTTGCGGCGCTCTGCATTCGGTCTATAAGACGCACCAACTTTTCCCCCTCAGTTTTGAGGAAGAAAAAGTGCGTCTTATGAGCCGAAAAATACGGTATATGTCGCTCAGGGTGGGAAATGAGTGAAAGTTACAGCACCGTAGCCATTGCATGTTCTCTTCCGTGCCTGGCTTAGCTGGCTGCCTTGTTTCTATTGAGCACATGCGGACATTCATCCCAGCCTAAAAGACATAAGGCAGGTAGCAAGAATCGTAAACGGTAAACAAGCAGGGTCACAACAGGTAGGCATGCACAGGTAGTAAACGCTCAGAATTACAGCAGTGAGGCAAACAAGAGTTCGTAAAATGTGATCAGTTTCAGACTGTTTAAGTAGAGGGGTAAAATGATCTTCAGCTGGGTGAGTAATCAATGTGGACCTAGGGATCATGGGAAATGTAGTGTAGCGGGCAGAGGTTAGTGGGGCGATGGTTCCCTCTGTTTGTCAGAGGAGGGAGTAGCGGGGTTTGTCTCTATGACACATATAGATGCATAAAAATAAATCAAAGTTATCCGGCTAAGTAAATTAAAAGTAAGGAAACTCAGTGCAGTCACATAGTGATATCTGTCCTCCTGCAATAACAGTCCCCGGTAACCCGGACCCATTATAGGGTTTCACCATTATTTGATTTTATTTGATTATCAGTTAAACGCTTTGATTGAAAGTTCAACCCGATAATATACAAAGTGCAATTATATAAATTACAAAGCCCCAAACATGCCATGGAGTGAAGAGAAAGGTTGGTGATGAGCTCAGACAATTTCAGGAAAGGTGGGAAATGCAGAATTTCACAGGGGCACCCCGACATATATGCAAGACATATAAAGAGATTTGAAAACAACGGAAAACACACCTTGGTAGAATGCCCAATTTATAACTCCAAGAGAAAAAGCTACCTGACTGGGCGAGATCTTAAAGAAATCCATGCTAATCCAAAAAGGTTGTTAAAATTTTCAGACATGTGCTGGGAATTTGAAAAAAACATTTTAATGATGTCAGCAAATTTTTAAAATGGAGATCAGATATTAAAATACAGATGCAGTCAGGGCTTTTTTAAAAAAAAAAAGAATTTTTTGTACAATGCTTTTATTGTGGAAACACAGATATGGCCCAGCCTTACCCAGATTCTGCCTCTAGTGGTCCCTAGGTTAATTGAGTTTGAGACCCCTCCTCTAAATAAAAGAAATGATGCAACATCTGAATTAATACATTTCCTATATGCAGATCCCCAGAAAGTTTTTGTGGAGCACATGCTCTTTTT